CCCCCTGCCCCCCTGCCCATCTCCTCTCCTCCTCTCCTGCTCCCCTGCTCTCCTGCTCTCCAGCATGAAAGGCCTCCAGGAAACACAAGGGAGATTGAATCTGAAGTCGACCCTCCTTAAGAACTCTGGTGAAAACCACTCCTGCGGCTTTCCTATGGCCAGCAGGCAGCTGGTGAGCGGAGGGAGAGGACGCACCCACACGGTGTGCTTCCTGATGTTTGCAGAAGACAAGTGGGGCCTGCGCTCCAGAGTAGCTGGGATTCCAGGCGTGAACCGCAGAGCCCAGCTGAGGCTAGACGTTTACACAAACAGACAGAATACTCTTTTCCCTAATCCATTCCTTGGCCCTAGATAATCAGTGCAAACAATGAAGCGCAGTGTTTATGAGGAAAATCACTGGGAGCGGAAAGGCCAGTGGGTGGTTCTGGAAGCAAGGCAGAATCCGGACACGGCGCAGATCTCACTGATTCTGCACACAATTTTCTTAGAAAGCTTCTTGCACGGAAGACACTTTCCCTAGTGTCCCTAAGAGAGAGTGAGCTGTCCTCCCCACGGCCGTTCTGCTCCGCAGGGGACGTGGAATTGGGGGAGAAAGGACCTCTCAGCAGGCAGCTCAGCACCGCGCGCTTTCCTTTCTTTCTGTCACAAGTTCACAAAACAACTATCAGGTATCAGTGTTAGTTCAGTTAAAAGAAACAGCTTTTTTTAGGTCTTGAACAACCAAGTCGTTTTGACAGTCAGTACATTTCACTTCCTCATCGCACAGCACACATGCTTACGAGGACGGGCAGTCCACTGCGAAAGGAGCAACTTGCAGAGAAGCAGCAAGTTCTCACCGCAGACGCTTCAGCACTTGCAGGGAAAGTTCGGGAAAATGTGTTGCCCTTTGTTTTTGTCAGTTTTGTGCTATCCACGTAGGGCTTTTGTGGGTCAGATCACTGTCTCCCCGGAAGGGCTGACAGGCTGCCCGGGGAGCGTCCACCCCGAGCCGTGGGTGGGGGGAGCCGTCCACCCCGAGCCGTGGGTGGGGGGAGCCGTCCACCCCGAGCCGTGGGTGGAACCGGAGCGCCCCGGCTGAGGGAGGGAGGAAGCCAAGGTCCAAAGCCAAGCATCAAAAACGTTCATTCATTTATGAATTTAGACCTACCAGGAGGAGGAGGAAGATGATGAAGATGAAGAATTAGATTTGACATGAATGTCAGGAGAATTGGGGATTAGCAGGAGGGGAAGAAGGGTACTAATGATGAAGGAGATCAAAGCATGACACACACACGTATATATGTACGTATGAATTGAAATAATAAGACCCACCATTGTTTGCAAAGGGGGGGGGAGATGCGCTGGAGGTAAACTTGTCTAAGATATACTGTATGTATCTATGGAATTATCACTAGGAAATCCCATTAGTATGGGAGCAATTATCATATTAATGTCTAATTAAAAAATTTAATAATAGCAGAATCACATGTAGCCCTTTTAGCAAAATATTAAGGGAGACACCATTTCATAGATTACTATCCTGCCTAATTCACTTTTTTTTTTTTTTTTTTGGTACACCAAGGGGTCCTATGAGTAATAAGACAACTCCAACAAGCCACATAGAAACTGGCCTGGGAAGCACAGTCCCCGTGTTCTTCCGATGTTTATACAAAATTAACATTTTTACACTCTGGCCAAAGGAAACGTGTCACGTCCACTGGTAACCTCAGCCTCTGTGGTTATATCTTAAAATGAAGATCGCCAAATCATTGTAACCTTCCACAGTTCAGATGAGGTGTCTTCCCCTTGTGAGCCACCTAGATCTGTGTTTTCTCCCTTAAAATCAACCTCAAATAGTACATGTGATGCTTCGTCCAGTGACCCGGTCCCTACTCACCACCACCCGCCGTCCACCGTCCTCCAGAACGGAACGGACACCCACAAGACCACTGCGAGAGGACAAGCACACGCGTCTGCGTGGGGGCAGAGGCAGAGGAGACCTACCCGGGCATCTGGGCGTCTTGTGGGCCACAGCGGTGCCGCTGATGGGCCTTCCGTTGGGTGTGACACACCAGCAATACCCTGTGTAGCTGTGGCACTGGACCTGTGGAGAAAGAACAGGCTGATGTGGCCACGCTGCCACGTGCAAGCCAATTACAGACCTGTGGTCACCTGGTGTGGCCACGCTGCCATGTGCAAGCAGACTGGAGGCCTGCGGTCACCTGGCGGCTCTGAGAGCCGCGTCTGCACATGCTATCAAAGGCCACATCCACACTCGCTCCTCAGGTACAGAAGGGATGGAGCCACGTGTAGCACCAGGCTGGCCATCCCCACAGGGCTCGGCCTCCACCATACAGCCTGGAAACTTGAGGCCCCAAGAATGGGAGGCCCAGCCTTTCCACTGGCCTGTGGCAGACTCAGGGAGAGGGGAAGGGTGTCCAGAGCCAGGGACGGTCTGCCTCCGCGGAGCCCCTCAATGACCACAGGGAGGGGTCTCGTGCAGCCCCGCCCCTCCTCACGCTCCCAGGGTGAGGGCTCAGGACTCCCTGGCACTGCCCCAGGCCGGGTGACCGGTGGGACCGCATGGCTGGCCAGCGAGTCTACAGTGGTGCTATCCCCCAGAGCAGCCCACTCACGAGAAACCGCAGGGCCGACTCTCACCAAACAGAGCCAAAGGACAACCTGAGCTGCCATCCACCCAGCCGCGGCCCCTGCCACGGGCCGCGTCACCATGCTGGCTCCTGGCCCTGACCTCACGCCCTCGGCACATGTTCCTAATTACACCTCAGCTCTGTGTCAGGCCAACAAATCTAACTCCCCAGGGGGAAACGGCTGAGCCTCGCACCCAGCACCGTGGCGGGCATGCCCGCAGTGTGCCTGGAGCCTCGCACCCGTGTCACCAGCCGTGTGTGACACCCAGGGGCACCAGAGCTTTATTCCTGTGTCACACCAGGAGAATCCCGTGGGATGTGACAGCCGACTCCCCCTCCCGGCCCGACCCCAGCACACCCACCCCCGAGCACACCCACCCCCGAGCACACCCACACCCCAGCACACCCACAGCCCAGCACACACACACCCCAGCACACCCACACCCCAGCACACACCACAGCCCAGCAAACACCACGGCCCAGCGCACACCACAGCCTAGCAACCACCACGGCCCAGCACACCCAAACCCCAGCACACCCACACCCCAGCACACACCACAGCCCAGCACACACCACACCCCAGCACACCCACACCCCAGCACACACCACGGCCCAGCACACCCACACCCCAGCACACCCACACCCCAGCACACACCACGGCCCAGCACACACCACACCCCAGCACACCCACACCCCAGCACACACCACGGCCCAGCACACCCACACCCCAGCACACCCACACCCCAGCACACCCACACCCCAGCACACACCACGGCCCAGCACACACCACACCCCAGCACACACCACACCCCAGCACACCCACACCCCAGCACACCCACACCCCAGCACACACCCACACCCCAGCACACACCCACACCCCAGCACACACCACACCCCAGCACACACCACACCCCAGCACACCCACACCCCAGCACACACCACGGCC